GCTCTAAGCAAAGTTGAAATCAATCCATTTAGTAGATTTGCAGTCTGCGGTCAGACTGCGAGGTCATTAATTAATGTTAAGAAGAGTAGTCCGTTCTTGTCAAGCTAATTTTGATTTGAAACATATCTATACGTATTATAATAAAGCGTAAACACACTTCTTTGTTGCCTAAGATGTCAGCAATTACAACATATTTTTGAATAATTCTTATTTTAAAAGCCCTACACTTACGACACGATGTAGACTATATATTTTCACGCCATTAAACTTAGGGGGTAAATATTTTGGATAAAAACCCTAATGTGGGAAACAGACCATAAGTTGCTGCCAACATCAAGGAAGCAAGATTTGTCATGTCATGTCATTTTGACATTTGCTATTGATAATTTGACAAATGTAAACAGTAAAATAAAATTTTCATAATTTCATGCGGATGAAGCCGTGCGGGAACAACTAGTTTGTTACTAAAATACCCTTAATATAGCAAAATAATGACTATCTGTATAAAATCTTATCTTTGTCTAAACTAATATTACAAATAGGAAAGATTTGTATTTTTGTATGTATTGAAATAACTCAAAAACTACTGGGCCGGTTTCGAAAATTCTTTCACCAAAAAAGCTACGTTATGAGTGAGTAACTTAGACTATACTTTTTTATTATTCCTTAATTTTACGCTGATGTTGCGAGCAACTGCAAGTATGAAATAAATTTATCTGTGGACCAATCGCGAGAAGGTATCGCAGAATTATCTAAAACTACTACTGGAGATATTTTTATAATTTTATTTTGTTTAAACATTTAACAAGTCTTTTTTTTAATTTATCAGATCATTTTAAATACTTTGTATAATTGGGCGGATATGCTTGTTTTTGTTTAACTTTTTTAATTTTCTTCACAGTAACTTGACGGTCGTTGGAGTAACTTAAATTCGTCTGCAAGATATGACATCTAAAGCTATTTTTGAACTGTAACTTGATTACAACGATGTAATGCAAATTTTCGTCATATAACTGTAATAATTATGCTTCATTGGATTCGAAACTTTTCAACTGCACGTACGTTTTAATATAATTGTAGTGCCAGTTGGAAAATTTGGCAACTTTGTTCACTGAATGTTATAACAATGAAACAAGGTTTTCTACCTGGTAAATACGAGTAAAGAAAAAATTAAGTAACTGGTCAAAAAAAAATTATTTCTCCACAAACTGATAAAAGAAGGACTTCAGTATATAAATATCAATTTACTTTTTTTTTAAATTTACTTTTATGTTAAATAATATTTGTTACAGAGTAATAATTTGAAACTTTCCTCTGGATGTAATTAATAACCACAGAACCAATTCGAAAAATAATTTCTTCCATATCAGGTTATGTAAGATTACTATAATAAGGGCTAACACAGCTTTTGCGACTCCGTACTTGTTAAGTTAAGAAAAATTTAATTATTGTCCTGTCAGATCCGTCGAAGTATACGAAATTGCACTCATAATAAGAAGCAAGACCAATGTGAAAGTAGGTTTCGTTACTAGGGCTGTATGAATTTCTCATTATATAGCAGGGAAGCTAACACGATTGATTCAATTTTGATTAAATTACTCGGGTTCGGCACCGACGGGAAGATTAACAAAATTAGCTCATGGAGCAGTTCGTCCGGTTAACTTGAAGCGATGGCTATCGGGTAACAGGCGTTATATAGAAATATACTCCACTGTAGAATATACTATCGTATCTTAACTAACCAACTTCGGTTGGTCTCCACAGTACTGCTCTTCCTACATTTCTATTTACTTAATTTACTACCTTGTAATAAATCTTGTAATAAAATAAAAATAAAAAAAAATTCTTCCTCCTCTTGTATAGTTGTTTAAATTAAATCTTGTTATTCTTGTTTATGACCTAATCGTCTTTATTCTCATTAAGAATGTAATATAACTGTAATTAATTGAAATACGCTTCATATACTTTCAGTGTAAGTGAAAGCGTGTACTCAAGCAACCTCTTCAAAGTCTAATACGCTACGGGATTCAATTGGCTTAATGAATAAGCAAAGGGAAACTCAATTAGAAGTCGTAATTAGAATCTCATCAAATGCTTCCAATTACGCCGATTGTGAATTTAATTTGATTTTTATTAGATTTTTTTTTTCAAATTAATTTTGTAAAACTCCGTAGGGCCTACTTATGAGTTGATTTTATTAATATTTCGGATTTCATTTTATTGGAATTCGATATCAAATAGATTTAATGTAAAAATATTGAAATTACAAGTATGATTACGTATTAAAGTTTGATGGTTTATTAAATGGAAATTAATTACTAACAAGACATTGAGTAGGAATTTCCATATTGTGTTGTGGAGTACTAGCTTTCGCCAGCGACTTCGTTCGCGTTATATTAAAAAAAAAAACAACAGCAAGTATCCTATGTGTTCTTTCACTCTATCCTCTATATCTATGCCAAATTTCATCGAGATCCGTTCAGCAGTTTAGGCTACAAACTCTAAGAAACATCAATCCATCTAAACTTTCGCATTTATAATATAAGTAAGATAGTCAGAAGTAAGATTAAAATCAAAGATATAATTTTCATTTTAGTACGAATAGAATAAATAAATTAGAGATTTAAGAATGTTTTACTTAACTACCCATGTTTACAAATCAGAGAATTTGAATATGTAGAAAGGATTGTAATAATTTCCGAGATTTTCTCAATAAAAGTAAATTGATTAATAATAAAATAATTATTAAATTACAGTGCAATGTGTTTGTAGACGACGTAGTTTTTATCAAGTGTAAATTAACAGTTAATTGAAACGCAAGCACGCGCAATTTAATAAATTAAAAGCGGAGTTACAGAGGAGTTAATTAACATACTGCCATAGAAGCAGACTTCGTTGGTTTTATGAAAATTTAATGGAATTTGTTGAACTCGTAATTTAATCTAGAACATTAAATTATGTAATTATGAAGTAACCAGAATCAGAAAGAGGAATTGCTGAAAGTATAACTGGAAGAGATAAGTATGCTGACTACAAACTGCTAGTATTATTGGGACTATCAATAAACAGGGTTCGTAAAGTACATGGCAGTTAATTCTATCAATTCTGGAGTTACACAGCAACTTACAGTGTATAAAGGGAAAGAGGTCTAAAATAAGACATGCACAGTTATCAGACAAAATGTGGAATTGCTTTTTGATATTTATCTTCAGTGTGGTCGTCATATTGCAGCAGGCTGCCTTGCGTTCAAAGATGTTAAAGCGGGATCTGGTACTGTTAAGATTAAAACTTCAATAAATGAAGTTCAAATTTAATTACTTCTTTATTCATCTTTGGTATGATTTGATTGTAAAACTAAATAAATGAATGACATCCTAACGTTGTGTACACATAAGACAGTCAGTTCACGTTTCTTAAATTAGTCGTCTAGAAGTTGTATAATGCCTTAACAAGTTTGTAAAGGTTTTCGAGTTTCAAAGAGCTGTTTGTAATGGCTTCAACCGCTTAAAGTTCTTACTTGGGTATTACGAATTTACGCTCTCCGGTATGCTTGTACCAGGGATGGATTTCTTCCTAAATTATATAAAGATTTCCTAACGTTGTTTATGTTTTAAGTCTCAGAACTTCTTGATCAAATTTTTACTAAGTACAAGATATCTAAACTGAAATTTCGTAACTGTGGAAAAACACCATCGTAATTATAAGATTATCTCATCTTTAAACGAAGAGTTAGAACCCCATCTGTTAAAGTAACGTTCATCAAT